ACCTGACAGCACAGGAATTCCTCGGGTGATGGAGGCACAGGGTGGGATGTGGAAGAAAACAGCCCAGTGATCCCGTGGGATCCTCCTGCGAGTCACCAGTCCCTTTCCATGCCGGACTAGAGAGCAGCCAGTGTCACATCCTGATAGTGGAGCCTGTCCCAACGCCCCAGCTCTTCCCACCGTGTGAACACACACACGCACACACCCCTTCTGGCTTCTGGCCCAAGCCTTTTGATAGGTGGCTCGTGGAGGCAGAAGCAGAGGCCAACGTTTGCTCTAACACCTTAACCCTTGCCCAAACAACAGGACACAGCCCAGCCATTGAAAGGCTTCAGTCTTTCCATGGTAGGCAGTAACTATTTGCCCTAACCATGCATACATATCTAGGAACACATTCATTCTATAAGACAATAAATATTTAGCATTTAGAAACATTAAATTTTGAAGTGAGAACGGGGCAGGGAAGATACAAACAAGCATCACAGGGAAGGTGCGCGATGAACACAGCTGAGCTATAAGGAGAAGACATCCAACACATCAAGGCTCTTCTGAAATGAGCGTAGATACCTTTAAATATTGGCCTACCCTAATATGAATCCAGCAAAAGGAACGATAAAAAATCTTAAATAATCATTTCCTGGCAAAAACACTACGCTTACGTTTCCTCAAAACTATCTGCATGTGTGAAATCCATGGCCTTTGAAAACCTCCTGCAGCTTACGCCGGCCAAAGTAAGTAATGAATAACGACGACGAAAATTAAGTCATAGATGCTTAAAAATAAACGCACAAAGTTTTCAGTAGACGAATTTCCAGCTTTCTGAAATCATTATTACCCTGTGCTGTTGTAAACAACACACATTTGCAACATTTTTAACATGGATCAGAAGCCTGACGGATGCTGAAAATACTACTTCAAATGAACACAGGTACTGACTTGAAAGGTAACTTATCGTGATCACAGCCACTGAGACTTCTGCTACTAAATTCTTGTTAAGACAAATGTTTGTGCTGCTTATAACCCGTCTGGATTAACAAAGCTCAAATACTGAAAATCAATTACAAAGATGTTTGCTGCACCTGCACAACGCTATTCTGATATATTGTCATGAATAACCAACTATTCGCGCAATGACAACAGTCAAAACTGATCCAATCAATCTTCTTCCCCTGCAACTTCTTTTTGAGCATATTTCTACCACTCATGTCCAAAGCCTGGAAGCTGAGAAATAATCCAAGTACAGGCGTTAAATTTCCAAGATTTCAGGTCATGAGGTAAGATGGTCCCTAACTATTTCTATTTTCTCCTATGCAATACCAGCAACATCCAGACTCCCTTTTCTTTCTCCTACATCATGTTGTATCTTCAGTGATGCAACTTCCTTTTTTTTTTTTTTTTTTTGCTTTGGGAAATACACTCTTGCCAACCCTTAAATTCATTTGAAAGCTGGTATTTCAAAAATATTGTCTTCATTCATTGCCTTGATTATAGTTCTTTGTGTTCTTCCGTCCTCCTTATGAACCATGTCAAGAACAACCTACTTGCTCCCAATTTCACGGCTCTGCATGCCCTATTCTAGCTTTATCTCTCAAATTTGTACCTCTGCTCTATACAAATACCCCGTTGTCAAAATGTAAGGAAGAAAATATGAGTGTTTGTCTAGCACTCGAGGCAGGAAACAAGTTATCTGTGAAAATCCTCAGGGCGACAAGGCTACCCTCCTTTAAATATATCCTCCAAGTCTGATGCCTATGAATCATTCACTGATGCTGAGATAGCCGGGGTACTTGAACTTCTGCACGTTCTCGTGCTCGTAGCATTCTCACAGCTCCCATGTGCTTTCCCAATACATTTCTAACATTTATACGTTGTCTTATCTTTACATTTAAATTAAGAAATTGTTTGCGCAGAAGCAAGCTTTGCTTATGCATCTGTAGTGTATGCAGTATAATGGTGCCCTGGCCTCTGGGCACAATTACAATATAAATAATAAAAATGAACTGTTCACCCAAGATTAACTCTCCTGACAATGTTATTCATAAAGCTGTACCCTTCAAATGGTGAGAAAAAGCCATCCTGATGCCATGCTCTACCACCAGGAACTCTCCAGGCATTGACACCACAACAAAACCAGTTCCTGGCCCATCATCACCTACAGGAAACCTCAACTGCTCCATAAAAAATCCAGTGTTGCTGGGGACATGGGGATTTATGTGGATAACCAAGCAAAATGCACAATGATGAAGACTCTCAGAGAACCATCCCTAGTGGAAGAACCCTACCATCTCTTAACATACGAGCCTAATTCTGTGAGGAGCTAAGAATCCCTGGCATCCCACAGAAGCAGATTCAAGGCAGTTTTCCATCTGTCTACTTAAACTCATCAAATTTGCGTACAAACATGGCCTTTGAGAAGGAAAAACACCAACCTGCAGCATCCTCAAATATTGTATTGTTCTTTAACGGAGGCTTCCATGAGGAATTATTCTTTTTTTTTTTTTTTTTTAGCTATGCTGTCTTAATGCAGGGCTCTTAGTTTTATCATTACTTAGACTGCACTTAGCCTGAACATTCTGTGGAACATTTCCTATAATGGGATAAAGCAGTTGAACAATTTGACTGGCTAATAGTGATTTAGACATGTGATTACAGTACAGAAAATGATCTGACATATGCTCTTTTATCTGGTTTACATGAGGCACATAAACCCCACTGGAAAGCACAGAAGTGAAAAGGAAGACATGCCCAAGCAGTCATATGAAAACAAGAGAAATTATTTATACTCATTTTATTTCTGCATTTGCTTAGCTAGTTGTAATCAGTATTTTGTAAAGAGTACAACATGATATAAAACCATTTTTCCTCAGAACTGATGCAGTAAGACCCGTATCTACTTTGTGAAAAAGTTCGAAAATCAGTATTTTAATAACAGCCTAGCTTCAAAAGCATTTATGACTTACAACACCTTTACCAATATTACAGATTTTCCATAAAGATACAGGACACCAGCCATGCTTAGCACCACACCAGGAAGGAATAACCATAACATAAAGAAAAAAAGAGTACTGATTAATTTTAACTTTTGTCTCAGCTAATTTCATTTCTTACACAGACGCTTCTACTCATGTCAGCAGAAGTACATATTTTTACAGCAAAATCTACTTTCCTCCTAAAACCAGTTGACAATATTCCCACGGCACCAAAAACCTATCTGAAAAAAAGGAATTACCTCTTCAGAGCCCACTTTTCGTCAAGAGCATGCACTCAGCCTCAAGTTGGCACACAAGATATGTCAGTTTTCTCTGATAGTGCTAGTTTGCCTTTCGGACAGACCGGTCATTTCCAAGGGATTTACATTTTTCTTCCTATAACAACTTCTAATATAAAAGCACTCGAGGTTTTCTGCTCAAGGCTTGGCTTCAACGTGTAGAAATAAAGTATGTAAAACTAAGCATAAAGCTGATGAACCTAGTAACTTTACTGCATATATATATGCTTGGAAACTACTTTCAGGTATGGTTATGAGAAAATTTGTACCAAACACGGAAAACGATGAGGAGAAAGCCGCAAGCACTGCACCAACACCAGAACCAGGGGGTGAACGCTTGGATCTTTCAAGCACAACTTTCGACAGGGAAAAAAGCCACACAACCCAACCTACGGATGGTTGTGTCCTGGACTATTTACGCCACACGGAGCTGGAAAAAAAACAAATTATTGTAGAGGAAAATACCCTCTCCGGTGCGTGCTTCCTGCACAGCAGGCTCCCTCCCTGGTGCTTTGGCAATCCGGGCTGAAATTCAGCGAGGCCTGAGGCGGGCGTTGGGCACGGGGCGAGCTGCTCACCTGGCTGTACGCACCCGGCCGGAGCAGCCCTTGAACACAAAGGGAAGGCAGCTCGAAATCCCCTGGGCTGTCCCCCACAGCCTGAATTTCTCTGCGGCTCCCAGCCACGCTCCTTCAGCCCCACGTCCCTGGCCGGCTTTGTCCTGCTCCTGCTGCCCTCGGCTCCTCAGGGAGCCTGCCGCCTGGCCTTCCCCCAGCACCGAGCACGTAGCAGCGGCCCAGCAGCCTCCCCCGCTTCCCTAAACCCCGCTTCCCCAAGCCCCGGCTCCCTAAAACCCCATCTCTGAGCTCTTTTTTCCACCCCCCCAAGTTTGCTCGGGGCTGAGGGGAGCGGGGGGCCCCCCTGAGGAGCGGAGGCGCTCGGCGGCGGCGGCCGTTGTGGGGCGGCCGCTGTGGGGCTAACGAGCGCCATAGCACCCCGAAAGTCCCCTCGATTAAGGGCAGTCTGTCACAGCAAAGGGGCTGGCAGCCCCCCCTAAAACCCCGTTGTGTCCCCACCAAGCTCTGCCGTGCTTCGCCGCTGTCTCCCCCCCCTCCTCTATGCGAGGGCAGCCGCTTGACAGCTCCCCGAGCAGCGCCCTCAGCCTCCGGGCGCCTCAAAGTCCTGCCCCAACTTTGTGTGTGTGTGTGTGTGTGTGTGTGCCGGGGGGGTGCCATCGCCAGCCACTTAGGGCAAAAAAAAACATCTTTTTTTTTTTTTTGCCTCAAAAGGGAGAAAAAATGGGAAGGCTGCCGTGGAAAGCTGGGGATATTAGATCCGATATCCAGGCGACGCCGAAGGAAGGAGAGTCCTGGAGGAGAAGGGAGCCCGAAAAGGAGGAAGGGGGAAGGTGCAAAGGCAGGGGGGGAAGGAGGAAGAAGGGGGAAGAGCTGGCGAGAAACTCCGAAGAAAGAGGGAAAGAAAACAGGGACGGCGAAAGAAAAGTGAAAAGGGAAAACGGGCGGAGGAAGACAAAGGTGAAAAAGGAGGAGGAGGAGGAGGGGAAAGTGCAAAGGGGAGAGGAGGAGAAGAAAGAAGGGCCCCTCTCAAAATGGCATTGGGCAGGAGGGAGGGGGCGACGAGCGGCGAGGTTCTGCTGACAGCTCTGCCTGCGCCTGGCCGCCTGCCCCCTGCCCCTCGGTGCCTCGCACACACACACACACGCTGAACTTACTTCTTTCTGGCTCTCTGGAAAGGGGAAGCGCCATCTTTGCGAGGCCGGCCCCTAGGTCTTTTGTCTGTGGCTGCTGCTGCTGCTGCTGCTGGGGGGGGAGCTCCAGGCTCGGGGGGTTGCTGCTGCTGAGGCGGCTCCACCACCGCCACCACCAGACTCTTGTCCTCCGTTGACATCCTAGTCAGCAGGACGAGAGAGACACATGGATGATGATGATGGGGATGAAGATGAGGATGGTGATGGGGATCCCGATGCTCCTCCTGCTCCCGCGGCTCCTCTCCTCCTCACCTCCGCCTCCTCCACCTCCGCCTCGCATCGCTGGCCTCAGCCGCCGCCGACCAGCACAGGTAGCAGGGGGAGCAGCATGGGGGAGAGCAGCAGCAGCAGCAGGAGGAGGAGGAGGAGGAGGAGGAGGGGAAGGGAGGGCGAGAAGGGAGGGAGGGAGCGGGGAGAGGCGGGCGGGGGGGGGGGGGGGTGCGAAGAGAAAGAGCGCGGAGGAAGGAAGGGTCTCGCACACAATAACACCCCCTCCCCGGCTCGGCGGGCTCCGTCGGGGCCCGGGGCGGGGGGGGGGGATGGATAAAAAGGCGGAGAAGCGAAGGAGAGGCGGTGGCGGCTGATCTCTGCCGCTGGGCTCCCCCCTTCTCAGAGGCCCCGGGAGCTGGCGGCTGTGGTGGTGGTGGCGGCTGTGGTGGTGGTGGCGGCTCCTGCGCTGCCCGGCTGCGGCGGCCGCCGCTTCATTGTAGGGCGGCCCCGCGCCCTCCCCCCGCGCACAGCCCCCGGGGGCGGAGGAGGAGCAGGAGCAGGCGGCGGTGGTGGTGGTGGTGGAAGTTTTGACAGCTCCAGCTGGTGTGTGTGTGTGTCTATGTGTGTGTATGTGTGTGTGTATGTGTGTGTGTATATGTGTGCCGAGTCCGGCCGGGCTCCTCGTCCCCTTCCCAGCCGGGCCGGGAGCAGGAAGTTTAACTTTTTGGGGGAACAGCAGGGGAGGAGGAAGGGTGAAAAAGGGGGAGGAGAGCGCTCTCCCCTCCCTCCCTCCCTCCCTGCTTGCCTTCCCTCCCTCCCTCCCTTCCTTCCCCGCGGGGAGGAGAAGGGATCCCGGCGCTGCCCCGTCACCCCCCCCTCACCCCCCTCCCTTCCCTTCCACCCCAACCTCCGCCTCCCTTTTCCCTTCCCTTCCCCCCCGACACATCGACGCGGCAGCCGCCCTGCCGCGGCCCCACACTGCGCCTGCCCGGCCCGGCCCGCCCGGCCCCGGGCGCCGCCACCCCGCCGCCGCCGCTGACCTCACGGGCGGGCTGCGGGGAAAGCGCGGAGCGGGGCACGGCTCGGGACGGGGGCTCCCCGTCGCCTCCCAGCCCTTTTATTTATTTATTTTTTGTGTGTGTATGTGTGTTTTTTTGTTTTTTTTTTTAAGTTATTTTACAACACAGCGCGGCGCACGGTGCCACCCCCCCCCCCCCCAATAGGGGAACCCCACAGCACCAGCCCCACACGCACAGCCGGGAAGGGAAGGGAAGGGAAGGGAAGGGAAGGGAAGGGAAGGGAAGGGAAGGGAAGGGAAGGGAAGGGAAGGGAAGGGAAGGGAAGGGAAGGGAAGGAGGGAGGAGGGGGGGGAGAGCAGAGTTCAGCGCTGCGTGCGGGGGAGACAAAGTCTGCGGAGCGTGGCCGCCTTCCAGCAACTCCTGCTGGAACAGCTGCGGCCGCTCGGGGCCCTCCCCCGGGCAGGGGCCTCGCTGGCTGCCTGCCCGCCCGGCTGCGCCGCGGCGAGGCGAAGGCGGGGTTCGGGCCAGGCGGGTTCCAGAGCGTTTCATGCGGTCCCCGGGGCCCGGAGGGACTCGCTCCGAGCCCAGCCGGGGGCGAGCGGGGCAGCGCCGCGCCCAGGGGCTCGGTCCCCGGGGCCCGGCAGCGCCGCGGGCTCGGCTGAGGGGCGCCGCCCTGAGGGAGCCCCTGAGGCGGCCCCCGCCGCCCGCCCTCAGCCGGGCAGCGCCGCGGGGCCCCTCAGCCGGGGCCGGCCTCCTTCCCTCCCTCCTTCTCCCCTTCTCTCCCTCCTTCTCCTTTCCCTCCCTCCTTCTCGCCTTCCCTCCCTCCTTCTCCTTTTCCCTCCCTCCTTCTCGCCTTCCCTCCCTCCTTCCCTCCCTCAGCCCAGTGCCCGCTGCTCCTCCCGGCCGTGAGGTGAGCCCCTGAGGGGCTCCCTCCTCGCCCCACTTGTACGTGTTGCACAAGTTCTCCGAGCTCCCACACAGCCGTGGGCAGCGATAGCGGCTTGGTGTCAATAAATACACGAGAAAAGCTCCGAGAGCCTCGCTCGGGACGTTTCTGGCCTTTGTCACCCAAGGGTTTGGGCGCTGTGTTGAGGTCAGGGTGGTAAAAAGCTGGCCTGAGGTAGCGCACTGAAGGGTGAGCACAATTTGGGGATGTAAAAATAAGCACAGAGCACTCCGGACCCTAACGCTGTGCCTCCTCACCAACATTTTCACTTGTCAGCTTCAGAAGTACCAAATTAAAGATGACGTGCTGTGGCAACCGCAGCTTTTGCTGGCCTGTTTTCTTGGGAACTCTTTCATAACAAAAAGCCTCCCTTGGTTCGTTCCCCAGGTAATTAAATAAGATCTTCGTGATACTTTCCTATCTATTCGTGGAGATAAAGGCGATACATTTATCTCCATCTCTATACAAACGCACACGTACGTATGCATAATTATACAAAGCCACTCAGTTCCTCAGCCATGCAAAGACAACTGCTGGATTATTGGCGCGACTTCCTTGGCCCGACTGCTGAAAATGTACCAATTCCTGCCAAATTAAAAAATACGTTCTAAGCCAAACATTTGTATTACAGTGTCCCTACATGACCACAAAGGTGTACTGCTCATAGGACTTCAGATAGGGGAGCTTAGATGTTTACATGTTGTCTAATACATCAAATTTTGTTAGGCAAGCGAACGTAAATTAACAGAAAACATTTCATCCTGCGCAGGCCCAGGCTTGGGTGGAAGGGAAGGGCAGGGAGAGGGAAGCGAAAGGCCACAGCCTCCACACAGCCGGATCAGCGGCGTGGCATTTGCTGGAGTTGCCAGGTTGCCATCTGGCCTGTTAAAAAAATGGCCATCTCCTGAAATAATGACTGTGCGAGCGCGGATCCACTGCGCATGCGCTGCGGCTTGGGTGAGTCTAGGATGTGTCAGAGCTACTATGCATGTGCAAATTGATTTGAGCTTAGACACGTGAGCATGCTGTGGGCTCAGCTCAACTGCTAGGTGTATGAGGAATAACTGTCACAGCCCACAGCAGAGAGACGTTCAGTGAAACCAACCGATTTCGCTTGTACACTGCGTGGTTCATCCAGTCATGCCATTTAAATATTGTTTAGTTTCTTTAGGCCCACTGTAAGTAGTTGATGTTTGGCGATTTTTTTATATTATTTTAACGCAGATATGTGGTTAGCAGTGTTTTAACTTTTTTCTCCATTGTTTCCGATATCGACTATGTTTATACATCCTTATCACAATACAAAATCCTGGCGCTAGCTTTGGTTTAGCATGGTCTAGGACAAGAGCGTGTTAAGGGACTGATGCCCATTAGTCACAGGGACGTGCATTATCTCCTTACATGTCAGAACAAAGCCGGGCAGGTCTGCTCTGTAAACTGCTGCTGCCATTGCTGTGGCAATCAAAGGTGTGAAGGACTGAAAGAGACTTGTGAGCAGGAGCCCAAGGCAGAGATGGACTTGCAGGAAAGTGTAGATTTGCTAGCATTATTTATATCCCTCAGTGATGGCAGGGGGACAAGCTAGGAGAAGCGGTGTCACCAAATATAAATCCTGTGTAGGAGTGCTTTGTTGATTAAGGACATTTGAACAGCTTTGTCAGGAAGATTTTTAAGTTTATAACTGGCCCATGCTACCCAGCTATTATAAATTATCTTGGCATGGAAAAAGCACATTTTTACAACAAAGACATAATATTAAATGAACAGGCCCTCTGCTTTACTGAATGTTAAGAGATCTTCCAGTTCAGTGTAAACTAACTCAGGTGAACTGAGACACCTATATTTATTTATTTATTTATTTATTTATATATTTAGTTTTGTTTTGTTTTTTAACTTCCAAGGGCAGGCAACTTTGAAACTTTCAGCTAGAATTTTACATTGTCTTCTGTCTTGAAATAAACATTTCTGTGTTCTTGGTATGGTTTTTGAATATAAGTGAGACCCTTGCAGCAGTGATTAAAGAGCGCATGCTTACAGTTTTGACTGCAAAACATCTTGAGCTGTCCCAGTGTGCTTAATGACAAACAGCAATATTTTCATGCACAACAGTAGAACAAGTTGAAGATGGGACACAGTCTTAAATCAGCTCATTAAGGAGAAGGATCTCGTTATGGAAATCATTAAAGGAAAACGACAACTGGTATGTAAATATACTTGGTATGTAAATACCAATTGTACTATTATACAACTAAAACAGTCTATGTAACAGAAATCTTGAGAAATAAGATTATTCTAGGAGTCTATCTGGAATGGATCCTAGGTATTTTCTCTTTAGACATTAGTTCAGAACTCTCACAGTTTAATGATAGTTTCCTTTATTATTTATCACCAAAATAAATAAATAAATAGTTTTTGTTCTGTTTGTGCCTGTGTTTCAATTGCAGAAAAGATCACCAGGTTATAACAAAGGCTTCATCTAAGATGCATCAGCAACATGCTAACATTTTAAGTGTTTGAAGAATTAAACCACTTCATCTTCAACCTGTGCTAAACTAATGATTCTACACCATAGTCTTATTGCTTATTGCTGCTTTGAAAGCTGGACAGAGTCCATTGCCCGTGCATGTCCTTGTGCAAGAGTGTCAAACTGCAGGACAAAAGGTGCAGGGGACAGCTGAGGGTAGTGACCACATCAGGTGCCCATGACACTTTTCCACATGTGCATCAGTATTCACCAAAGGAGTGCAGAAATAGCCGGATAACTGTTTTTTTCAGGATTAAAAATAATAATGATAAAGAATTATAGACCAGGTCTACATCAAGTAGCAAAACCAGGATCACATCATACAAATACGTGTCTCCCAGTTTGTTTGTACTAAACTTGGCTGGACTAAAAAAAAAGTTAGCATATGTTAATTGTCGTATTCTAACGAAAGCGCTGTAGAAGTCTAGTTTTAAACTTGAAATGTTTGTTTCTCCTTTTCATCAGTTTTGCTTACTTGTCATCTTGTAGATCTGTCTTACTTTAGGCAACAGCACAGCCTGGATATTAGGTACGACATACCCTTGAGCAGTGGTGACTTTCCCAGCAGTTTGGTGAGGTGCTTGCTGCTGCAGATGATGGGGGATAAGCCTTGCTTCTTGTCCTGACCGGTATTCCCAGCCAGATGGAGAATTGCAGACATCAGGTGCAACAGACAGGTACTGTGGAGGTCCGGTCCCCCTAAAAGCAATCTAACTGCTCTTTGGAAGCAGTGTGGTTCACTCTTTATGCAAATAATAATAATATTAATTCTAGTTCTTTTTTCTCCCCCACCTGCTTCCCACCATGAAACATCATGACTTGGATTCCACAATTCCCCACACAAACTAATCTAGAATAAGTGTATGAACATGGGTCACGTTAAATAATATGCTCGTGTTAAAGTCTAGGCTCCCCCATCCCCTGCCTGCTTTAACTTGATCAGTTTAGTATGTGTTAAAGGCAGCCTTGCCTACGCTGTGATATATGTGCTAACATCACACCTTTACACCTTAGTCTCGCCAAAGCCCGAGGCCTTTTCATCATATTAAGCTACTTTGACTGGGCTAATGTGACTGAAAAACACACCTATTTTATCCATTAAGACGGGGCCAAAAATGTTAAATGCTCAAGATGCGAGCCCCCAGGGCTTGTCTATATATCGAGTTATTACACGTGGAGACTTTTATCTTCATAAGAAAATGTTCTTTTTGTGCACGCCAAAGTGTGAGTTTAAAACTAGTGGTTATACTATAACCCTCGTGCAGACTCATTCATTCTGGCATCTTCTGGCTTTTTTTCAGATTAACTTCTTCCAAGTAATTTAAATTAAATAAAAAAAAAAGATACTCAGAGTAACTTTGTCCACACGAGGAATTTACTCTTACTACACTTAGCGGTGGTACTATTAATAAGACCTTCCTGTGTGGAGAAGTTTTGTCAGGTAGGAATGTTAATTTTGCACATTTGTACCTAGTATTTTCAGAAATGCTTAAATTCTTCCTAAACTATCAGTTCATATAATTTGTTCTTCTAAGGAACGATGGACTGTGCAGTGTTATGTTGTATTTTGTTAGCCTCTGCGTGCGGTTTGTAAAGCATCCCCAAGTTACTTACAGACATCAGTCTGCTCCCTTTCTTGTTACGTGTCTAATTTGTGGCAATCCGTTACAACTTTATGAATCTGTAATTTTATGACTGTTCATATTCTGAATTTTAGTTTTGACATATCTGTGGTGGTGGACAGCCGAGAAATAAAGTTTCATTAAATACTACTCGATGCGTGTGGTTATTATTATGTTTTTTTAATCCAGAAAGGTAGAATGCCAACGGCTTGAGTAAAATCTAATTAGTATCTGAAAACAGGACATCTCTTGGGTTAAACACTGCCTGTGTTGCTGATATATGCAAGCCAGGAAAAAAAAACACAGCCAGTAGCAAGCAAACAGGGCAGTAGCTGGGCACCGTGTGTGCACCTGTGGGAAAAGCTTATAGAGTGATTGGTGCGAGGGGAGGACTTCATCATGCAGAAGGTTCAATACATTTCTGAGCAGCGTGTGCTGTTTGCAGGAGTGGTGCTTTACACTCAGATTGCTTAACAGAAATAATGAGAACCTGGCCATGAAACAGGGGAAAGGATTCGTTTATGTGCCTTCAATCAAATGTTTTTGTGACTGGGACTGTTTTATTCCGTTCCGTTCTGTTCCTCATGCCTGGCAGCCCTGGTTCCTGATATGAGATCTTGGGTGCTACGATAATAGGAATTTAGATGTTATTAGCAGAGGTAACCTTGTCACATACTGCCAGTTTTGCCAGGAAATAATCTTTGTCCCAGACCTTTTAAAGGGGCTGTAGGGTAAGAGAGACGGGTGCCTAGGGTTGAAGTTGAAGTCAGGTGAACTCGAGGAGCCGAATCTTGCTGGCAGCTGCTTCCTTCAAGCCAGCTACGTGTGTGAGTAAGAACAGCAGAATTTGGCCTTTGTTTTTTGAAGTTAATTGCAGGCAATTTATGGGGATGTCACCTACATGAGGTCAAGCCAGAATTCAGGCCTTTACTTCCTTACTAACTAATGTCTTAAACCAATTACCTGCGTACCCATATGGAAACAATAGCAGAACCTCCACTGTCACGACTACCCTGAGATCCTAAATTACGTATACAATAAAGGCTGTGCATGCATTTTGTGGCTGCAAACAATGTTATATTTCAGCCTCAAGCAGAAATTTTCTCCAAGCCTTAGCCCCTCGACAAGAAAAACACACTTTTTAATGAAAGTCCCGACACCACCTTAATTACAGTGCAGCAAACATTACCACCGTAATCCCATTTCCTCCTTAGGCAAGGAGAGCATCCCTAGGGGCCTGGCTGCCTTTCTTTACTAGTGACCAGTTTGGCAGAAACTGCCTTTTCCCCAGCGTTTTGTTGTTGTTGTTGTTGTTATTTAACCTCTACTGCACTGCCCTGGGGGAGATGCACGGGGAGGTGCCGGTGCTCCTTTCCCTGAGCTCCTTGCAGCCCTCCTGGAGCTCTGAGCAAGGGGCACCAGGAGAATTCCAGCCCGCAGCCTGGTGCTCAGCATCCCACAGCCCCTCCGCCCGTCTCCCACGATGCCAAAACTTCATGTTCAGCCCCTTGGTACGACACAGGTTTCACCCTGGCTCTTTGCAGCAGTCCCCAAGCTGGCTGCTTTGTGTTTGCCAGTGTCCAGAAACAATCACCTCCTTCTCCTGGCCTGCCAGACACCAGAAAAATCCTCGCTTTGGGTCCAGCAATGCAGGGGGGAACCACTCTGCCAGTGGCAGCGTTAATCCAAGTGGGTGAGGACAGCTGTTTGAAAAAAAAAGGGCTGCCCCAGCATGCCCAGCAGCAACGCGTTCACTGAAAGCAGCCTTGCAGTGTCTCCAGGCTTCCACAGTGCTGGAGTGGGTAAGCAAAATGTGATTAGTTTCTCACGAACGTATTGATTTGGTGAGGAGATTTTTGCATGCAGGCTACAATATCAATAGGACAAATTTGCAAGGATGTTTGAAGCTGGGGTCTTTTCCTAGCAGAAATACGTTGAGATATAAATGTATATAGAGAAACACAAGGGGATACTTGTGGTGCTGACTTTTTTTTTCTCCTGCCTTCTTAAATCAAAGTAATAAATCTGTATGATCAAAAGAGCTGAAATAATCAATCTCTCCTTACATAATTGATCTGAGAATCCTAATTAAAGCTACAGAGAAATTAAACACAAGGTTTCTTGTTCTCTCTGCCACATTGTCAAGTACAGTACAGTTTTCTATGATGGAACTCCTCCAATTCTGATGTACAGGGTAAAATCATGAAGCTGAGATACTTCCCCTACAAACACACCAAAGCCCTGTATCTGCTGGGAGGACATTTCTGTTCTGTTCCCTTCTATTTAGGTTCTCGTACGGTGTTAATCACCATGGTATCTTACAGCTTTATAAAAATACAGTGCGCCATATGTGGTAAATCATTAATATAATTAAGAATGAAGTTGCTGGATAAAAATATGCTTCTCAAGCCTAAAGCAGAAGCCGTGCAACAATGGCCATACCCAGACGAGCAGCCCGAGTGAAAGAAGTACACGTATGAATACAGGAGGTGGGGTCAAAATCTTTCCTTAGGTGGTGGTATTGCATCTAGTCACTGTATGGGAGCTTGAATGGCACATCCACTCCTTTCTTCCCTACAATACGCTGAGGGAACGTGCAAGCCCCATCCTATTCCCTACGCTGCATGGCGGAAGAGTGCCTGCTTGGCAGTGCTCAAGGTCATCATCGGTCAAAAGCAAAGAATTTGCCAATAAATGCAAGGTAAGCATACACGTTTATTGCCAAATAAATGCACACGTAGTTAAAATCCAAACACAAAGCAAAATGAAGGACTGTAACTCCTTCGGAAAGAATGTACTAGAGTGGTCATAAGTTTTCCCCCTGACTGGTAATCTCACTTACATATTTTTGCATATTTTTCATTTTCCTCTTAAGTTTCACCCAGATCTGTTTTCTATTTATGTTGTAAGTGTCAACACATAAATAATTTTCTCTGTTGTATCCCTCACTACTAAATTCTTTCTCTTGATGGAACAGCAAAAGTAATTATATTTATAAATGGAATGTCTGTTTTGCCTAAGCACCACATATAATTCCCTTCTGTAAGAGGGATTTTTATAATTCCTCCAAAAATGCCTTGGCAAAGACCAACCCACCAGTTGGTAGCATGGATCCAGCCTTTAGGGACAGACCTCAGGATTCCGATTCCTTTGGCCAACAGGCAGGAGGGCACCATAAAAAAAAAAATAAAAATGCCCTAGTTTCTTTGAGAGAATGGTGCTGATGTTGAATATGTGCAGTTATTAAGCACCCTGGAAAAGGAATTCACTGAGAGTTGCTCGCCACCTGTGGATTTCACTATTCAACACAGGATTATTTTGGCAACTGAAGCATTCTTCATTGTGGATGGCTGTGGGAAGATATTAATCCTGCTCTTCGAGTAAGATACAGTCATTGATATAACAGATCTGTTCTACTGTATGATATTGTGAAGGGAAATCAAACAAGTCCCGAGTGAAAGGATGGGGAATCTCTAGTCTTTCTTATCCCCTCTCTACATTCTTTTTTCAGCTCCCTTCCACAGAGAAGTTCAGGTGTCCCTGGATTTACAGTAGAGTGGACAGAGATCTGTCATGAGCTTCCCCTGCATTAAGGGAAGCTCAGTTTTTCGTCTCTGGGTGCTCCTTGAGAAACCCTGAACCAAAACCATTGTATGGGGATGGTGGGTGCTAGCCACGAACAGTTCACAGCTTGCTCACAGATGAAACAGAGACAGGCCTCCTGGAAGGGATCTGCATTGCAGGAGGAGAAAAGCATGATTTTCTTATTTGGTTCTCCAAATCTAGTAAATATGCATGTGCATTATTTTCTTGACTCTCACCTCAATATATGCTTTCATTAAAGTTTTTTTCCAGGCCGTCTACAAAGCATGACATATTCTATTCCTACCAATGTGGCAAACTTGAAGAAGGTTGTACCAGAGCACTGAAAACCCGTGCCCTGTGTGGTTTGGGACCTGCAAATGTAGAGGTCTCTGTGGAGAAGACACTGTCTGATGGGAGGCGGGAGGTCCTTGGCATGCAGCGTGATGAAAAGAGTACCTAACCCTCTAGGGTCTCACGGACCCTGCACCACGGTTAGTATTTCCATGGGTACCAGTCCCCAGCTGCCAGAGCTTCCAGCCCCCAGCTTTCACTGAAATTAGAGAAGGATCAGCAGGAGCAAGCACTACTCTGCTCCTGAAGCTCAGCAGCTCCCAGTCTTTATCTTTATCATAAAGCAATTTAAACTCATGTGGAAGTCTCACAGCCACGTCAGTAGCTCAGGAGCTGGCACATATTTACTCCTGCCCTCTCTGCTACAAAGGGGCCCTCCATCAGGAAGGTACATCTTCATGCCACATCTTCAGCCACTGCAACCAGTTCCCAGGGGCGCTGAGCACGAATCCCAGGGGTGTCTGCGCTGCCCTGGCCTAGTTTATGCAGGTGCTTTGAACAAGTCAGCTCCTGTGCCTCCAGCAGTGTTGTTCCAGGAGTGCTCCTGGGTGCTCCTCAGTGCTCCACGGCCCCATTGCTGTCCTCTCAGTGAGTCCGACTTGGCTGCTCTAAAGCCAATGTGGGCTGCAGAGAAACCCAGGTCCATTTCCCTACTTGGTTGTACATTTAATCAGAGGCCCCTCAGTAGTTTTGGACTTCAGTGTGTGCTCTTGCGAAGTGTTCATGTTTATTTAAGATGCAGTCTTTACGAGCGGCTTTCCTTTCTCTCAGTAATTCACATACATGGTACGAATTTGGTCTGTCTCCTCAGCTTTTGCATCCAGCAAAACTGAGTTGACTGCGCTAGCGTTGCTGGTTTACCAGCATAATTCAGCTTGTCTGAAAAGGAGGAAGATTGATGTTGGCTGAAGTAAAACTCTGCGATGCCTATGGAGTTTTCTTGCCCTAGATTTTGGGATTGCTATTTATTTTAAAAGTAGGCAGAGCTCTGACTTTAGATTTTCAGGAATGCCTGCATTATGTCAGTGTTGCTAATTCTTTGAGTCAAGTCATTGTGGTTAGCCAATCTTGTTTTCTGTCTCTGTGGTGAGATTTTAAATCCAGAAGGCTAACCTCAATGCTCCCCCAAGAAAGCAGGCAGAGATGACAATGCATTTCCTTCTTTGACCTCTGTCATAGGGCTGCATGGAAAGATGGAAATCGATCAAGTTAGA